ACACATGTCCCTCAAGTTTCATCAAAATCCGATCATAGAGCAAAAATAGTGTGAAAAATAAATGTATACCAAAGTTTCGTCCAAATCTATTCAGCCGTTTTTGATAAATATTGCTGACAAACACACACACAGAGGGTTGAAAACTAAATGGGCACTCAGTAGAGTGCATACCATCGCCACACAGCGTTGATCGGTGGCGGAGGTAATAAAGTGACCCTTCAGATGAAGTGACGGCCTCGGAGTTGTATAAGTTATTATGTATCTGAGAAAGGAGACGAAATTCTACTTAGAGTAATAAAAGTACTTCGTTTTGTCCACAATAAGGCAATGTAATGATGATTAGGTAATGATAAAATCAAACTAGGAGAAAGTGACTTGTAACAAAATTAATTTAATCACATTTGTAAACAATGTTCAACTGAAACTGCATAGGACTTTTTGCTTAATTCAGTTTAACTGTCTTTTGTTCGACTTGAGGCATGATGATGGATAAAACAAAATACGTGGTCTAGCTAATTAATGAATGAATATTTGCTGTAAAATCCTTATCAATGCTATAAGTGTAACTAGCAGTTTGGCCTCCAGTTTTGATTTCATTCCCTTAAGTCGCACGCTCAATCCATTTTTGGCAGCACCTTATTTTCACACCTAAGGTATTTTTGATTAGATATCATGACTTTTTGTCAATACACACAAACAAACCACAGCAAGTAAGAAAGTTACATTCAATAATAACCAACATAACTTTAGTATCGCAACCCTATTTTTATTCCGAACACATCTATACTTACAGAACCAACCAGATCCTTTAACATATATGGTGGTAGTTTTTCCTCTCTAAAACAGTGTTGATAACTTCCTTTATAGTAACGCAATGGAATCCAAATTAACAGTTTCTTGTCGTCACCGCATGCATTCGGTACAGCCGTAGCAAGCATCATTATTTATGCTAATTGCTTAAGCTAACATCACGTGACGCTAAACGCTCTTTAATTAGGAGTTTGCTTGGCCTAACCAATACTTATGTATCTGCACGTGCTTTCACCCTATAATTTTGCTGTTGTAAATCAGCAGTCCTTAATCCGAATGATGAAAAACTAAAAACTGTTCACTTTTATTCTTAGGTGAAGCTGTAGTAACAATTTTAGACCGATAGCTCACGTGACGTTTTGCGTAGGCGTGCGCAAAAACATTGGTCAAAGTTGACACCTAATTGTAGGTTGTAAAGATATATCAGTGTGCCAAATTTGAAAAAAAATTCCATGAAAGTTGAATATGTTTTCTATCAAATAAAGTTTCCGTACTTTCGGTGCGAATAAAAAAAAGAGAGAAAAATTCAATAAAAATTGGAGATTTTATATCTCGTGTATTTCGTAATCGATTGCCTTGAAATTTGGTATGTGTAGTAAGTGTCCAGTAGAGCAAATCCACAGAAAATATATGATAGTTTGGATTACCACAGTCCGAGCTACAGAAAGTGGAATATTGTTAAACTATCACTCCTGTTAATATCACATAGTGTGTCCTGTAGGTTTTTTTTTTTGGCCGCATGACACACTACCGCGTGTTTTGATATAAAATTCCTTTTAAAGTGGAACAGTTTTCGATTGAGTTTTGTTTTGTACGTGTTTTAGTCTCGAAGGTATTATGACCACATGTACAGAAGTGGCCATTTTTTAAAACTTACCAAAAAATCTTAAGGCGAATGAATGATTTCATGGAATCGTCTGACTTTTGTAATAAAAAATTAAAATTAAATCATTTGTTTTAGAGCAAAGTTACACGACGAGTTATCTCAGCTCTGTTCACCACGGGGATTGAACCCCAGATTTTAGCTTTGTAAGCTCGTAATCGTATTCCTGTAATTTAGTCATTACATAGGAGGAATTCTGAAGAAGTCCTTATTAAAACATTACAGTGTGATTTTACGTGCTGGGTCGCTGTTCCATGATAGATCGTCGTTTGCTATGCTAATTAAGTAATGTTTTACACTCCACGATAAACTAGATTTCATTTCAAATTACGTGGGTTAAGGCTAAGAAAGGGTTAGAAAACAAATGCAAGTGAGTTGGTTGCTTAAATTATTTATAAGTAGAATAATCAGTGTTCCATCCAGGCGTGAACTGGTTCGGATTATCGTGAGAACTAGGCGGTAAAAACGATTACCATTCTACATAAAGCTTGTATACAAACTACTAGGTAATAATGTGTGACCCTTTGTAGAATACTAAACAATGTTCACATTTTATTTTGTGCTTCTCTCTCTCTCCAGAAATTGACGAATGAAACTCTGGTAAATAATAATATGCTGTTAAGGATGTGGAGGAGTAAATTTGTAGGATCGCTGCGTGTCTGCAAAATGAACACTGCATCTAAATTACAGTTGAATATTTGACGTTGATGAAAAGATTAAAACACTATTCACTTGCCGCTAAAGTTACGACATGTATAATAAATCTGCGAAAATCGTACTCTTTTTGTTAAACTGTTTGAAGACCTAAAAACGTTAATAGTATTTTACTGCAATTGAACATTTATATTTATGCCATAGATATATACATCTATGAGAAAGTTTATTGTTCAGCACAAATCAATGCAATGGGTTTCCTGTATTCTGCCCACCGCGAGTATCGAAAGCCTAATTTTAACGTATAAGCCCCCAGACTCACCGCTAAGCAAAAATAGTTTGTTTGTTATGGATTTTGCGCAAAGCTACACGAGGGTTATCTGCGCTAGCCGTCCCTAATTTAGCAGTGTAAGACTAGAGGGAAGGCAGCTAGTCATTACCACCCACCGCTAAATCTTGGGCTACTCTTTTACCAACGAATAGTGGGATTGACCGTCACATTATAACGCTCCACGGCTGAAGGGGCGAGCATGTTTTGGTGTGACTGGGATTCGAACCCGCGACCCGCAGATTGCGAGTCGAGCACCCTAACCACCTGGCCATGCCGGGACAGCAAAGAGAGAGTGAGAGAATGTGAGGCAGTCCACTACACAAACTTAGAAATGCCTTAGAGAAACCCAAAATACTAGGTATCAGTGACATTGTCTTAAATCCTTAGAACAACAAAGTACTTAGTCACCCTGGATTTAAAATTACAAGCGTATATAGTGTGTGAATTATCAGAAGAGTTTAGCCCTCTAGCTGACAAATTATTATTACAACATAAACCAGCTAAAGCTATTTTCTATATCAACCCACTCCCCTCCTCCCTCCGGTAGCTAAGAGATAAGTCTGATGGCTTATAACGCGAAAAATCGAGTTACGATACATGTAGTGGGCAAAGCACAGATAGCACATTTAGCTTTGCGCTTAACAACAAACAATCAAACAAAAATCTTTTCTACATATAATAAAACACCCGAATCTTTTCCAGGTATTTAAACTGTTAGTTTGGTTCTGGAAGGTTTAATATCATCTGTACTATAAACGAAAATTGCTGCTTATAGAATAGTAGCTACTGAGTCATACATGATTATGAAAAAAAACGACAGCTGGGAACCGTAGTGATTCAATTCCGTATTCCCAAGTCTTTGAACTAGCACACGTACATACAGGAGTAGGCGGATAATGTTGTGTTAATGAAGACTACCGAGTAATTTAGAATGCGAACAAAACGTACAAGCCAATAACATATATTACACTAAATAGTTTTGTGTCGATAGTTACAAATAAAAATCACTCATAACGTTCGTGAAAATTACAGTATGTATAATCTTT